AAAAAAGAATAAAAGTCAGTGCTTTGATGCTGGCAAACTAGTGCTGGAGAGTTTATCACACACAACCCAATCAATTCCTCAAAGTGGTTCTCTGGATAACAAAGTCATCTCTGTTGCTTGGCAGAACAAAAGAATGGGATAGAGTGAAGACCTGTATATTTTTATCATCATACTTATCCACAGAGAGGGAGAGATGGAACTAAACAGAAAAACACTAAATAAGAAAAAAAAAAATCTACAGTACCTCTAGAAAACGCTTAAAGGGAATTCTTCCCTCCTACAAAAATGACTTTAAAAGATCATCAGGTTATACAGCATACGAACAGAGCATGGGAAGAGAATGGGTCTTCTCCAGTGTGCTTCAGCTCAAGCCCTAAACTGGACACTCTAGAAGCTGAAGATTCATCCCATTTCAGTGCACAGCTAATCATCGGCAACTTCTTGATACATGTCCGAAGGAATGCAAATTGCCGCCAGCTGTGATTTGTGCTCTTGTCAAGTTGGAACAAGAGAGCAACATCACCTTTCCTGTGTAGTCATCAATGTGCTGCCATAAAATAAATTAAATTGATATGGATGCGGGTCCACCCTGAAACAGATAGGAATAATTTTGCATTCTAGTGCTTTTCCATATTGTACCTAGTCATAGGCACATCAGAGAGTTATGTCTTAACTCAGCAAATCAAATTTCCTACTATCTCAGTCCTATCACTCTGCGTAATCCCTTTCATGATTAAGCTACTCTTGTTTAAAAGAATTCCTTGCTCCAAAATAGTGCAACAGCTCCTTCACAGCCCTCAGCAATCATTTGATTCTGCTGCTAAATAGATGAAAACTTTTCTCTGATACAGAATGTCACTGGGAAAGCAGACAGGAAACATGGTTACTGAAATAGCTCTGTCCTCCAGCCCGTGCCCGTCAGACACTGCTGCCCTCGTGCGCTGATGTCGTCAGAAATCTGATGGGAGCCAAAAGCTTCCATGGAAGTTAAAAGCAGAAGTGAGACACACAAACCAGACTTCTCTTTCAGGCTGCAAACTGAGGGCAAAAGCACGGAATAACACACAGCCCCCAGCTAGCGCAGCGAGGCCAGAGATCCCCAGTGGAGTCACTGGTGTTGTTGCTACAGTGGGAGACAGAAAATCAAGCTGGAAAAGTTTCCTCTTTGTTGCCCTGTGTGCTTCAAAAAGAGTTGCTGGCAGCAGTAGCTCGCCTGTGGACTCCTGCAGTAGTTTTCTCAAAACTCCCTAGCCCTGCTGGATTAAAAATACCACGTCAATTGTAGTCACTATTAATATTCCACCGAAAAAGAGATGGGGGTCTTGTCATCCTTTTCAGCATTCGAAAAAGTAAACTAAGAGTTCCTCACAAAGTGATACGGAAACTCCAAACACTGAAGATACAGGTATTTTACCTGAGTTTTAAAACACTTTGTAAGGACGGTATCTAGAATTCTGTTCTCTGCTTTGTGAAGTTAAATCAATGCTGTTTTTCTTAATCTGCTCTGGACTTGGCAGAGGTAAATTTCCAATTAGTGTTTTCGTTCTTTTTTTTCCAGAGGCTGTACTGCATCATAGACATCATCTAATTTTATCAAGTGCCTATAGGTCAGGGATCTGGCGTGTGTCATTTCACCTCTGAGAGGATATTTCCAGTAAATATGGTTTTCAGTTTATACTTAAGAATGGATGTTGAGATGACTCAAAAACTTCATGGTAAATTACAAGTGAACTTTAAAAAATTGATTTGACAAAGATACTGCATGTTCGGTGTGTTACAGTATGATAATCAGTAACTGTCGGAAGAGGTGATCAGCAGTTCTTCCATAGGGAGAGGTCAAGGAATATAGCACGAGCTACTTCTGTAAATATGGTGGAACACAACTACCCTCAGACAGAGAGCTGTCAAGTTCTGTCTTCCATATGAAACCAGAACTGGAGCAATTGGTTTTGTGCACGTGGACAATAATAGAATAGTATTTGTCTTTATGAAGAGAAGAGTATCTCTGTTCACTTCAGGACAAGGTGTCAGGATATCTGGAGGCTGATCAAAGCTCTGCCTGTCCCTCCCTGTGTGATTCTGGAAGCATCCTTTAATCACTGCCTCTTACTGTGAAAATGTGTTACACGCAAAATTATTGTGAAGCTTAATTCACTGTTTGTGAATGCTTTGAAATCTTGAAATCTGCAGTAACATATTTTTTAAATTCAGCTCTTCTTCCCAGTATTTTAAATTGAAATAAAAGGCTAGAAAATACCATTACAATGAGCAAGTATAATCTTTTTCATATTGAACATCTGTTGATTCCTGAATCCTGCAATTCTGTTTGGGGGTTGATCGTGTGCAATGTGCTTTGGTCCTAATGCAAAGAAATGTGCATGAGTCCATTTAAGCTGAACCTTGTCGTGGTTGCCCATCTGCTTAAAGCATTTGCTCAAACACTTTGAGGACTGAAGTCCAAGTACTTGGAAACCAGTGGATTTAAAATCTGTAAGCACTGCTATTTGTGAGAGGTATTCTTGCTTGCAACCCTTGTAATGTGTTCTCACATGGCAAATTCCAACACTGACTTCATAAAACATCTTCAGCTTTGGAGTGTCTCCCCACAGAAGAAGACTAAGGACCAAGTCCTCTTTCACACTTCCAGCTATAGCAGCTTGCATAATAAAAGATGACACCCTTCCCTTTAAAGGATCTTTTATTGCAAGTCAACACATTTGTCTTTAAGGAAAACATGAGCTCAAGATTATAACATGTAACTTTACTTCACATTCTGAAGCTTCCAGAATGCTTGCAAAACATTCATTTCAGACATTTTTTAAACTAGTAGTTAGGTATCTGACATCCATACTGGTTATGCACCAATGTGTGTTTTTCATCTCCTTAATCCAGAAGACATAAAAAAGTGTTTTGATATCCAGTACAGATTTCAGGAGGAAAAAAAATACAGTACATTTAAGCTTCCCTTTCTACATTGTTTACTAAATATAGTGTAATACAAGTAATAATATGCTGTGGAAAGTTCTGCTGTAATGTCATATGCATTTACAATCCAGGAGTAAAAATTTACTCTTCTAAAATTATTTCACTCCCAAGGAACAAGCAGTTTTGGCCAGCTGGGTACAGTTGTAGGGCAAGTTGTCTCTTCAAACAGTCCACCAAACTCAGTAAGTAAAAGGAGCAGGCTTGAATTCTGCTTTTCTAGAGAAAAAGACAGAGAGCTAGGACACTGTGAACGTGCTTGTGCATGCTGTGAAGTTCAGCAGACTCAATGAGATTCTAAATGAAAAAAATATTATTAATGAATGAAATAACACAACTTCCTTTCTCCAGAGGACTATTGTTTTAAGTCTGTAGCCTGCAACCAACCAAATGCAGTTCTGCAGTCTTATCAGCAAGTCCTCAGTGTACTAGAATCCAGTGTCTGCAGTGAAATGCTCTGTAAACTCTGTAAATGGTTGTTCTTCCAGCAATTACATGTTTCCCTTTAGAAGAGAAAATGTTGCACACTAAAAATAAAACAATGAAAGCCAGTCAGTAAATACATGGAAAATAATTTGCCTTTACAATAAGAAATACTTGTGGTTTACACTAACACTTGTAAGCTCAGTGTTTGTAGTCATATTTGCAAATAGGATGATACTGGGCTGGAAAATTGCAGTTCAGAGATGAATACCAGTGCTTCCTGAGGGATGCTGATCTTGGCAAAGGGATGAATGCTGCCAGCCTCCAAAAGCCTGGAAATTGAGATGTTAAGGATTTTGCCTGTTCCCAAAAGCTGCTGAATCAAAAGGCTTGTTTGTAAGCGAGGAGTAGGATCCTCCTCTACTTGTGGAAATTCTTTACCCTTTATTTAAACATGAAATATTTAACAGGAAACTGATACAGTAAGACTTAAATCAGGCCCCATTTGTCTGTGCTACTTCCAAATCCCAGACTTCTCACGTCAGCGCAATTAGTCTCAACTAAACCAAGGGTTAGCTTGACATGATACATGTATAACAGTCAAGAATATATGTTAACCTCAACTAAATATTCCATCTTTATCTTTGTATTCCAACTAATTGTGCGATTCCAGTATTCAGCCATAGATGTCTAAAATCTTGCTTTAGTGAAAGACAAGGTTTCAGTGAATAACTTGCCAGGAAGAATTAAATGTTGGTACAATTTGAGAAATACAATTTGAAATAAGGAAATGAGTAATCCCATAGCAAAACAGGAAACTTAATTTAAAAAATAGTTGTCATTCATGCTGCTTATCTGGATAACCAGAACTAGAAAAATGAAACATGAAGGAGTTCTGTTCCCATACAGCCTTACTGGGTATTAAAATGTGTCTACCTATTCTGCTGGCTGCAGACAGAAGATTCTTTATAGTTGTTGCTATGCATTTGGTATGTTGTTAAAAACTTCTCTCTGTGTGAAGCTTGGTATACTTCAACATTTTTCCCATATTGTGGGGGGAATTTTATACAAGCACCATATAATGGAGTCTTTTAAGGTCCTTAGAATCATCAGAACAGGATGCCTATGACCACAGCCAGGACTGTGACGTTAAATCCTCTACAAGATCTACAAGGCTGCTCAGACAGATGCTATTCTGCAGTTATAGGAAGAAGGTGGGCAATGCAGGGTGTTCTCTGAAAATTTAACATCCTCAGGAAAAGATGTAAAACCAAAACTTCTTTTTTTTTTTTTTTTTTAAAAAAAAAGAAACAGAATAGCAAAATTTGCAGAAGTGTGTATATCAGTAACCCCCTAACGTGATCTGTTTCTTCAAGAAATGATCTGAGGTTTATGTGGCAGCTTCTTCTTTCCTCTAAGGTAAAGATATAATGGTTACAATTAAAGATGCAACACTATAAATATGCAAGCCTATGGCAGAGCAGTAAATTAGAGCCAGCAGTGCAAAGACAAGAGATTCCTTGGACAGTGGGATATTATGCTCTAAGAAACCGCTGCCACCCGCCTTCTGGCAAAGTATGTCCCTTCCACAACGGCAGCTGGAGACTTCTCAGAGATCTTCATCATGCCCAGAAAATTGTTAATATGGTTGAGGTTCCTCCTAAAATGCATGTGTGTGTTTGCAGCAAGGACGTAGCTCAGGAGTCTGGGAAAGCTTTTATGATGGTTTCATAGGCAGGAGGTGGGGTTTGCGTGGAGTGGCAGATGCGGAGGCTGTTGTTAGACCAGTGGAATTCGGGTCGACTTAAGCTGTTGGTGGTGCTTCCCACAAGGGTAGTGGTGGTGTTGGTGGGAGTAAGGGTGATCAGCTGACTGTTCGTCTCCACAGGGAGCGGAGGACACTGCAGGAAGGGGTGGAAGGTGGATGCGCGGAAGCTTG